TTCTAGGAGCTTCATTTGTCGTTGATTCATTTTATTCAGTGCAGTTTGGGTGGAAAATCACAGAGCACATTCGTTTCCCATTCAACAACATACACGTTTCTTTTGTGACATGAGTTCTGATGTGGCGCTGTGAGTTAATGCGCTAGGCTGCAAAGCCATTTGAACTGCAAGGCCGGTGGTTCAAGCTCACCAGTCGCTCCTCGGAAACCCTATACAGGGTCCCTATGGGTCGGAACTGAGTGGACAGCACTTAACAACAACAACAACAGACAGTACTCTGTCTGCCTTCTCTCTGCATTCCCCATTTCCATTCATTCTCCTTTCCTACCATTTCCTGCCTCTGAGCATAGTTTCTGGGCAAATGCAGCCCTTTGGGTCACACACACTGTTCTGAGGTTATTGTTCATTTTATGTTGGTGCCGTTGAGTAGGTTCTGACTCACAATGACCTGATGTACATACAGCAGAACGCAACACGCCCCAGTCCTGAGACAGACCCCCATCCTTGCCATATCCGAGTGCATTCTTGTAGTCACTATATCCATCCATCTCCTTAAAGGTTTTCTTCATTTTCACTGATCCTCTACTTTATCAGGACTCCTGGTGTGGTGCTGTGGGTTAATGTGCCAGGCTGCAAAGTCAGTTTAAATCACAAGGTCGGCGGTTCAAGCTCACCAGCCACTTCTTGGAAACCCTATACAGGGTCACTATGGGTCAGAACCGATTCAATGGCACTTAACAACAACAAGTCTACTTTAGCAAGCATGATGTCCTTCTCAAGGGACTGGCCCCATCTGAAAACATGTCCAAAGTACGTGAGCTGAGGTCTCGGCTTCCTCACTTCTAAGAAGCTTTTTAGGGCTGTGTATTATTTGGCTGAAAGGTGAGCCCCAGTGCTGGGCAATTCCCGTCTTGAAGGGGAATATAAGGGCTGTAGTCTGTGGGTTTCATTACTCTCTGTCAAGACTGGTGTTTTTATGTTTTTAAAGTTTGTTCTACTTTTCCTTCCCTCCCTCTCTGTACAGGACTTCTGTTTTTACCTTGATCAGAGTGGTTGGTGGTGGTGACCGGGCACCATCTAGTTCTCCTGGGCTCTGGGCAGCCAAGAGTGTGGTTCATGTGGTCCATTTCTACTTTGGGTCTCCAGGAGCTTTGTTGTTCTGTATGCTTCTTATAATGTATTCAAAGCACATATGTGTGTAAATTACTTGTGTTACTGTTGTTAATTGCCTTCCAGTCAATTTCCACTCATGGAAACTCATGTGTGTCAGAGAAGAACGGCCCCATAGAGTTTTCAAGGCTGTGACGCTTTTGGAAGCAGATTTCCAGGTCAGCACTTTTTTCCTCTAGGTGAATTTGAACCTCCAACCTTTTGGGTAGCAGCTGAATGCTTAACCATTTGTGCCACAAGGTCTATGATGTGTTAATGAAACAATCAGTGCCAGACACGCAATAAACAACCACAGGTGTATTTCCATCTTCCGAATGTATAAGGCTGGGTTTTAAAACCAAAACCAAGAAAAAATTCCTGAGGGATTCATAGTCTTAATGCAAAATCCTTATCCACTGGTAACTGTTGTTGTTGTTATTACAGACATAACTCATAGGTATTCTGGGTTTGGTTCAAGATCGTTGCAATAAAGCAAGTCCTACGAATGTTTTGTTTTCCCAGTGCATATGAATGTGATGCTGACAGTATGGTGTAATCTATTACGTGTGTGAAACAGCATTATGAAAAAGTCTGAAATACTGCGAGAATGACTCACATGTGACCCAGAGACCCAAAGTGAGCGCGTACTGTTGGAAAAATGGTGCAGACAGACTTGCTCGACGCAGGATTGCCACAAACGTGCAAACAATGCAATGCCTGTGAAGTGTGATAAAACGAGGTCTGCCTGCACTCCAGCTCTCAGAGTTTGTAAAGTGTGATAAAGCGAGGTCTGCCCGCACTCCTGCTCTCAGAGTTTGTAAAGTGTGATAAAGCGAGGTCTGCCCGCACTCCAGCTCTCAGAGTCTGTGAAGTGTCATAAAACGAGGTCTGCCCGCACTCCTGCTCTCAGAGTCTGTGAAGTGTCATAAAACGAGGTCTGCCAGCACTCCAGCTCTCACGGTCTGTGAAGTGTCATAAAACGAGGTCTGCCCGCACTCCAACTCTCACTGTCTGTGAAGTGTCATAAAACAAGGTCTGCCCGCACTCCAGCTCTCACAGTCTGTGAAGTGTCATAAAACGAGGTCTGCCCGCACTCCAGCTCTCACAGTCTGTGTTCTGAGCTATCCACCTTCTAGTCTGCAGCTACCCCTGGTCCACTTGCACCTGATGTCCAGGACTTATATACGTACCATGGGGAGCAGCGTTTGTAGCTTCTAGAGGGCACATAGGGGCGTTTTCTTATACCCTCAAATCTCCACCCAACAATCCCACCACAAAAGACTCCGCTTCACGGTTTCTCACATTTCCAAACCTTTAATCCCACATCAGACCAGAGAGAGGGAGGTTAGACCCAGAGGTCCCCGCCTTCCTCTATCACCCCAAGTCCCACGACAAGGAGCAATTGCTCCTAAGAAGTCTCTCGCCCATGTGAACAAATCCAGACTTGGGGAAAAAAAAGAGACCCAACTCTTCCCCAAGACATCCTGACCTCTTCCCTCAACCCTGGCTATTATAACAAGCCCTCAGCCTTCCCCTGGGGACCACTGTGTACAAAGAGCCTTTTCCCACTCCATCCCCAAGCCATCCAAACTTCAGCCATTGAGAAAAAACGAATTTACAGAGCGGGAAACGAGAGGCAGATGTCTGAAAACAACTGGAACCCCAGAGCAGGAAGAAAGAACACAGCTTCCCCAGCAGATGGGGAAAAGATTCCGAGGGTGAGAGTGGAGAAGGGGGAGGGTTAACAGGTACACAGAGAAAGCAGAATGGCCACCCTAGGTGCCCCCAGGTCCCCGTTTGGGACAGAGGGGCCCCCAGGGCCAGGGAGGCAGGGTGAGCAGCAGGAAACAGCCACCCCCCAACATCAGGACCAGGCTGGCCGCCACACCACAGCCCAGAGACCAGGAGTATTCATAGACCAGGGCTGGGGCCAGCGGAGGTTCTGGGCTGACTCTTGCAAGTAGGGCTTGAATGGAATGCCGGAACACCTCCATGCTCACCAGAAGTAGCAGGCCTGTGGGGAGAAGACACAGAAAGTTACTCAAGTCCCTGGGAGCTTGGGGCTGAGCCTGTTCCCCAATGCACCCTATATACTCCAACAAGAAACCAGAGAGAATCCCCTGACACCTCCCACTTATTCACTCAGCAAATACTTCCCAAAAACCTACTAAGAGAAGGATTTTTGTTTTTTTTCTGTGTTCAAACTCTTTGAATCATTGTTCCCAATCATTACTGCCCTGAGTAAACTTTTCCCTGTACTTCTGGAACATACAGACTAATGATTTAGTGCCACATTGTTAATTTAAATTTAGGATAAGGAGACAAGCTGGGAGGGAAATCAGACAGCTATCATTTCATCACTTAAAGAAAAGAATGTCACTTTTAGCCTAAGGTTTCCGATAAGACCAACAACTGTTTGGAGGGTCAGTCACGTCTCAGGGTGTGATACACTGTGATTCAGTGGGACAGAAATCCTAAGACTCTGACAAATGACTACAACACTGCAGATGGATGGATACCCAAAGGGGTATGAGAGTCCCAACTGTATGGGGGTCTTTGAGAAGGATCCAAC